CACATAAAGATGGTTCAGGCAATCAGGCTATTCCTATTCTTTTTATTTTGGGAAAAGCCCTAGCAGATTTTCTCAGTACATTTTCCTTCTTAATTTATGGTGTTATTGAAACAGAAATCTCTGGAACTTCTATCCAAGGTTCTGTCAGTGAAAGGGATTGTTTCAATGATCTCATGCTGGAAATTCTTCATTTGGGTTTCTGCCCATAAGTAGTAAACGAGGAGGAGACCAGTTTAGTGCTCCAAATGTCACCGTTCACAAAGCTCAATGCTAAATACCAAATGCTGAATCAATAATACCTATTGATTTAACAATTTCCTTGGATATTTATAGATTCAAATCAGACACTAAAATCAAACTATTCATCAGTGCTTCAGCTAACAAAATGTTTTAAAATTGTCCTGGTTATTCTGGGTTTGAAGTGATTTGAAAAATGTTAGGATGATATTAAACAGCTAAACTGATGAGAGTGCTAAAGGTATATTTCTATAAATCAAGAAGAAATGTGAACAAAAGAGCAACAGATTATAAGAAATGGTTTGCAATATCAATGGCTCTTAATTATTCTTGTTTAAACTTTACTGGAAACCATTCCACAAAAAAGAATGGAGAAAACTTTAGTTTAGCTCTATGGTGTTTGTGCGGGATAAATAGTATTTGTTTGTTTACTTATTTAACCAATTCTACCCAAGTGCTTTGTCTAATTTTCATGCATGTTCATACACGATGGGCCATATACTAGCCACAGTCATACTAATTTTTGAACTAGCAGATTTGCCACTTATGAAAGCACGAGTACACTATGCTGATGCCTTTGCAGAATGGGCTGGTGTTTCTGCTAACCTGCCACTGCTAGTAGCTTTTCACTTACACACTCATAAGGACGATCACTGGGTGAGAATGGACAGGCAGTGGCAGAATTGGCATCGCTCAGGCTGTCCTCACTGGAGGTGGTCTTCCAAATCCAGCTGAGATGGCGTGCGGCTTAAGATTCACCAGAAGACAAAAATACTGTATGGTGTAACGTGTATTGGAAAATTCTCCCTGAGCATGAATTCGAATAACCGTCCTTATGTGGTTATGCAGGAAACCAGGCTTATGGCTTATATCACTAGCTGAGGATAAGCCCCTTTGTTGGTCCACGTGCATGAAACTAGAGAAAGTGTATGTCAAACCATCAAGCTCATGAGGAAGACCCTCTCAAGTTAAGCAACTAAATGGTCAAACTCACACCAAAGAATCAAACTCAAGGACATTTAGAGTTAAGCAAAATTACAAATCAGCTGAGTTTCCAGTACAAAGTATCCTCAACCATATACAAGTTCAACAATGTTTATTTGATTTTAGAAGGAAATGAAACACAGGATTCGGTTTAGGTAACTGGCAGCCTGAATCTTTAGAAGAAAGCCTCTGCTTGTAGGATCATGACCCTTGAGTATCTGTGGTCAGACTTCCAGGGGCCGTTTCAGATGTAGACTTGAGTTGATGCAGATGCTGGGATGGGCTTGCTCTGAGTGTATTTAGGCCTTGCTTTAAAAACAGCGATCCCAACTCCTTCTTCCTGTCTCTTCAGGCAGGAGGCCAGAATGGAAAGTGAGAACATCACCTCTGTCAAGGAATTCATCTTACTGGGGTTGGCCCGCCAGAGAAAAATCCAGCTTCT